CCACAAAATAAGACAACAGTCATCAAGACATATTAACCTGTACTATGGTTGCAATGGTAGCCCATGTAGCACTACGGAACTTGTTGGCACTTTATAAATAATAATAATAATGTAACATTATTTAGACATTCAAACCACTCATATAAGATTTTGTGGGGGGGCACTTCTGTATGGAATATGAAAGCTTGATTACAAATGACAGAGCTGGAGAATTGAATTCCACGCAAATCAATTTGAAAATGTTACTAAGAGAAAAATATGCATGTATTTCTTTATTATTATTTATTTCCTTCAGAAACATTTGTTTCATAATTGTTCCTGATTCAATAGCTCAAGGCTAAGGCTGAGCCAGGCCCTATGTTATACTGTATTTACTGTAACTGATGCAACCCCATACAACTAGACCGGGATGTAATTGTGATAGTAGTATGTAATGTAATTATTTTATATACTAGTGTACAGCAATAAGCAAAAAATAAATACAAATAAGTAAAACTACTTCTGACTAACTACTTCCACCTACATCTCTTGTAAACTATAATTTTACATGACAGGAGGCTTTGTATTTTGCATAACTTTCTTTACTTATGCCTCCAGCAGCACAAGTTAATCATAAAACTAACAAATCAGAAATAAGTATCAAATCCATATAAAGCCCTGTCAGGCATAGCTTCTCCTCTTTCTTTGCTGCTCCAGCTAGGCACAGGTCAGAGAAATTTGTTCTATGCCATTTTTTGTTGTCTGACTTAATTTTACTGGAATTGTATTTATTCCTTGATTGTACTCATTATTACACTTTCTACTACCTCCCCTGGCTTTACCTCCCCTCTTACATTGCTTTGGTAAAGTCTTTTTTGCATCCCCAGAGCATTTCACTCCTTGTCTGAGCCCCTGGCTCTCTGACATAAGGATCTATCAATCTCTCACTTGCGTGATCGCGCCGGTTTTTGCTGTAGTTGTTCTTGCTTTCTGGGGCTTGCTTGGGAGGTTCTGCGGGTGCGGAGTGTGTGGGATACCAGTTTGCATCCGCCGGCGGGCTGCGGTTTCGGGCCATGATGACGGATTTGCGCGCGAAAGGTGGCCATCTTGAATCCAGCGATACCCGAGAGATTCTCGGCGGCCATCTTAACTCACCCAGATCGTGATTCACATGATCTGGGCTACCTTACCATATATATATATATATATATATATATATATATATATTTACTGCTGTCTTAAATAAAGGTACTTACTTTGCTGAAGCTGGTATAATGTATTAGTGCTGTGCTTGTAACAGCATTTTATTCACAATTACAAACTATCCTGTGTCAGTTTTAAAGGTGCAAAAGATCTGTCACCTCTTGATGGGAATTTATCTACCCCTAGACATATGCAATTAATTTTGATCCAAATGTAAATTCGGACGAATTTCGGGCAATTTGGACAGTCGAGTACTTCCGAATGTCTGAATAGCTGAATTGCCGAAGTCCTGAATTTCCAAAATTGCAGAATTTCTGAAGTGTCGAAGTTCCAAAGCACAGTATTGTATACGTACTAATATACTTACCCAGTGGAAGAATGAAGAATGTTACATTGTATACAAGTTTAAATAAAACGTATACAAACATAGCCAGGATTCAGCTGTAAGCATTTGCAACACTTACAACAATCAAGTAACACACATTCGTATAAAATGTAAATTACTTAGCCTGTCAATGGAATGACAGGATTGAATAAGTAGATAACTCCCTAATTCCCACGGTATTAGGGAGTTATCTACTAAAAGGCTGAAAGACCTAAATTGGTCTTTTAGCCACATTTACTAATACTAAGTAAAGATTACTTAGTATTAGTAAATTGTGCCCCTACTTGCTATACCGCGAGTAGGGGCATGTCTAGTAAACAGTGAGCAGCCTGTGGCTGCTCCCTGAAAAAACAAAACAAACATCGGTGGGTGGGGGCCCTTAAGTAAAATAAGGGGGGTGGCCTATTGTCCTCCCCTCAGCCCCCACCCCTGAGTAGAGGGTGGGGGCCATAAGTTGGAATAAGGGGGGGACCTAATGTCCTCCCCCCTGAGCAGTGGGTGGGGGCCCTAAATACCAATAAGGGAAGGGACCTTATGTCTTCCCCCCTGTCCACCACCCCTGAGCGGTGGGTGGGGACCCTAAATACCAATGGGGGGACCTAATGTCCTCCCCCCTGGCCCCCACCCCTGAGCGGTGGGTGGGGGCCCTAAATTAGAATAAGGGGGAGGACCTAATGTCCTCCCCCCAGGACCACACCCCTGAGCAGTGGGTGGGGCCCTAAATACCAATAAGGGGGGGGGACATCTAATGTCCTTTCACATTGGATACTCCCGCAGATCCACGGGAATGGAGGAGGACGGTACATTCCTCAACACCTGCAGTGTACCTATGTTTGACCCATGCACGATCAGACACCCAATATCGTCTGAATGGGGACTACCAATCTACCTGGCATACTTCGCACATTTCTGGGTTCAAAACCTATGGAAAAAGAGGTGCATGCTCGTCTCCGGACTGAATAACCTCACCCACTTCACCCAGATAAGATAACACATCCCAGAATTCAATACCACTGTAGTGATCTCTATGTCCGGCTCAGGGCGGGAACCCTGGAAGGGCATTGGACATGGTTTTAAAACAGCCCTGGATAAACAACTCAACATGCTCGACCCACGGGATAAGATACTGTTTTATACGGACTTGGCACTATCCCAGGACACTTCACTGGATGCCAATGACATACAAGCTAGATGCATAATTGGCAATACAAATGTGGCCATAAGTGCCGAACACCACAAGGCAGACCTACTCAAGATGGACACCAAGCTATTGGAGTTGGGTACCAAAGAACTAGGTCCATTGACTACCGGTCTCCCAATTGAGGAACCGTTCATAGCAGAACTAAAAAAATGTACATCAACATAAGTCTTCCGCAATCCTACAGCAAAAGGCAGAGGTGTTTTTGGCAAAGCTGGTCGGCAGAGAGGCCTAAGTCACCCGCCATTTCTGGTTCACAGGTCCCAGAACACAGACCACATAGTGGTATAGTCACTTAAAGATGGATGATATCCAGATGGCGCGGGATCTCCTCCTCGCAAATGATTGGCTCACTCATCTGGACTTGAAGAACGCATACCTGTCAGTTCCAATCGGAGGGTCTTCCATTCATTTGTGTCATTTGGCGCGACTGACCACGCCAATTCACTTGTTACCCTATCTTTCAAGACGACATGCTGATACTCAGAGTCTGCATCCGGTCTATGCTCTCAAACGAGATTTATAGCTCTATTTCTAGAATCATTATGTTTTATAGTGAACTGAGAGAAAATCGTCTCTATCCCTATCCAGAGTAGTCCAATTCCTCGGGTTCGAAATAGATTCAACGAAATGTGTTCTACGTCTTCCCACTGCAAAAGTGGCCTCAATTCACAAGGAGATTCATTGTGTACTCTTCAAGACTTGATTCCCCTTTGGCTCCTCGCAGAGAAGAGGGACTCCTTTCCTCTTCTATATGTAGATCTTCCCAGGACCCCTACATTACCGGGCTATGTAACACCTGAACCACTATTACCTAGGGACAGGATACACCTAAGACCACAGGAGGTGCGAACAGGACTCCGTTGGTGGCTCCTACGTATGCAAGCTTGGAATGGCAGAGTCATCTTCGGGACCACCCCAGATTTCATAGTGGTGTCAGACACCAGCCTTTGTGGCTGGGGAACTCACTACACACAGGATTCATGGTCAAGGAAAGGGACTACCCTTCACATAAATTGCTTGGAACTGATCGCTTTGCGATCCTCAGCCTAACGAAGGACATGTCCGATTTTAGTAAACTGCACATCCGCATGGGCAATATCGCGGCGGTTCAATACATTAACAGCCTGGGCGAAGCCTAATCTTGTGCCCTGACAGAGACAATATCTCCAGAAGGCATTTCCCTCACAGTGTAACGGCGGATCGAGACGGATTCTACATCCATGCCATATCCGGTATTTCCCAAAAGGTTCCCCATCCCTGCGTGGTGAACACTACTATGTTATGTTGCGGTTTCTGCATCTCTTCGGTCTCCAGTCAGGCCAACTACTTATTTTATTTCTGTCAGACTTCACTTGCATCCTTTGCTTTTCGGGCACAGCGTTAAAAAAAAAAGCAAAATACGAAGCCTCCAGTCACGTTGTAAAATTGTAGATTATGCTAACGTCGTATACCTATAATTTTAATTTTAATAAAGACAGAAGGCAAGTATTTTCCCTCCCTATAACTCTTGTGATATTGGGATTACATTATGTTTCGGTTTATCATGTTTCTGTGAATTAATGTGCGGGTATGTTTGTAGGTATAGTCAACGATTGTATTACTGCTCAAGTTGTATACATTCTTAAACCTTTAATGTGATCTAAATCTAAATTAGGATTAATATTTGGACAACAATTTATTTCCACCATCTTTCACTTGTTTCTGTTCCTTTCAGTGTAATCTTCATTTATGGCCTTGAAAATGGACAAGCTGAGTTACTCTTCAGCTCGAGTTATGGTTATCAAAGTTATTCAAAATTGTCGTTATGGTTCCGGATGTTATTGTAGACTGTTTCGCATTACAGAAAGAGGAAGAGCTATGCCTGACAGGGCTTTATATGGATAGGATACTGGTTGCTGACTGGTTAAAGTTTTATGATTAACTTGTGCTGCTGGAGGCATAAGTAAAGAAAGTTATGCAAAATACAAAGCCTCCTGTCATTATTAAAGGGACACTATAGTCACCTGAACAACTTTAGGTTAATGAAGCAGTTTTAGTGTATAGAACATGCCCCTGTAGCCTCATTGCTCAATCCTCTGCCATTTAGGAGTTAAATCCCTTTGTTTATGAACCCTAGACACACCTCCCTGCATGTGACTTGCACAGCCTTCCATAAACACTTCCTGTAAAGAGAGCCCTATTTAGACTTTCTTTATTGCAAGTTCTGTTTAATTAACATTTTCTTATCCCCTGCTATGTTAATAGCTTGCTAGACCCTGCAAGAGCTTCCTGTATGTGATTAAAGTTCAATTTAGAGATTGAGATACAATTATTTAAGGTAAATTACATCTGTTTGAAAGTGAAACCAGTTTTTTTTTCCATGCAGGCTCTGTCAATCATAGCCAGGGGAGGTGTGGCTAGGGCTGTATAAACAGAAACAAAGTGATTTAACTCCTAAATGACAGTGAATTGAGCAGTGAAATTGCAGGGGAATGATCTATACACTAAAACTGCTTTATTTAGCTAAAGTAGTTTAGGTGACTATAGTGTTCCTTTAAAATTAAGATTATAGGTACACTCTGTTAGCATAATCTACAATTCTTTTCTTCATTCCCCTTGAATTTGCAAGTGCCGTAAGTCGAATTAACTCTATTCTCCGTTAACTATATTGGAAAAATTTTTAACACTACTGTAATTTTGTTTGTTCTGCAATTGACCTTAATAAATTCCATTTAAAAAAGTAATGATAAAGTCACCTCCAACCACAATAAACTCTACCCAAGTTATGGAAGTGTAAGGTATGGTAGTGGAGCTACATATCAGAGGTTGAGAAAAACAAAACACTATTAATATGTGTAATATTGTACCAGAATAGATTTAAAGGACCATTCTAGGCACCAAGACCACTTCAGCTTAATGAAGTGGTCTGGGTGCCAGGTCCCTCTAGGATTAACCCTTTTTTTTTTTTTATAAACATAGAAGTTTCAGAGAAACTGCTATGTTTATAAATGGGTTAATCCAGCCTCTAAAGCCTCTAGTGGCTGTCTCATTGACAGCCGCTAGAGGCGTTTGCGTGCTTCTCACTGTGAAAATCACAGTGAGAAGACGCCAGCGTCCATAGGAAAGCATTATGAATGCGCATGCGCATTCAGCCGAAGAGGCGGATCAGAGGCGGGGAGGAGGAGGAGAGCTCCCCGCCCGGCGCTGGAAAAAAGGTAAGTTTAACCCCTTTCCTCGCCATCCAGCCTGAAGGGAGGGGGACCCTGAGGGTGGGGGCACCCTCAGGGGACTACAGTGCCAGGAAAACGAGTATGTTTTCCTGGAACTATAGTGGTCCTTTAACATGTCATCAAGTAGGTTTGTATTTGTACATTGTATTTTTTTACTTCTCAAAATACACTATGTTTTCCTTTGCAGATATTGTTCCTTTGGGGATGTAGAGCTTTTTCTTCAACTTTATGAATTAACATGTTCCGTGCATGCACGGAGATCTAGTTAATGGGCCTGGAGTGTTCGCTAGCCAGTTAGTCAGATAAAGCTATGGTGTGACTCCAGTGCACAGATGATGGCATTCGCTAGGAGTAATCAGACGAGAACCCGCTTTCACTTTAAAACATTCAATAGAAATAAACAGAGTCCTCAAGGACCGCACCCAACCCATTTTCTGGGCAATTCTTTTCAAGCATGTCTCAGCTTCGGATAGACCAATCCTTGAAATACACACAGGTTATTCACTAAGATGTTGCAATGCATACAAGGCCATTCAGACTGAAAAATCCAGACAATGTACACAGAGTTAGCAATTTGGCGCGTATTTCGACAGGACCGAACACTACCAGACGGCTCAAACCCGGACTGAACTCTTCAAATTAGCCTGCTGACAGCACTAGCAGCTAGAGGGAAAATGGTTACAAAATCCCCCGCAATACAAGGGTTAATAATGCGGCAGCTGGGAACTGCTTGCTAGTCAGTTGCCACATTAAAAAGGAAAACACAAATTAAAAAAGAAGAAAAATTAACTTCATGACATCTTTAAGACCCCCATGTTACTATACGGGAGGTTTAAAACTTTAGTATGTCTTGGGCATATCTACTAGAATTTTAAAACCAGCAACTCTGCAGCCTCTGCAGGGCACCCCAATGGATGGGGCCTGCAAAATAATTGGGTGAGGTCATTAAAATAATGGGAAGTGTACACATTACTGTCCACCCCTTGCCCCCAATACACGATACCCCAGCAAATTAAAGTATCCATCAAAAACACATCAGGCAGGCAAAGCTATTAAATAATAAATTAACCTCATCTAATAAGCTGTGGTAAAATGTTTATCAAATTCACGGTTTGCTTGGCCAGCAGCCATAAACCACACAGCTACTTCCTCCACAATCTCAGTCATAACTAACACCACATACCACATTCACACTTGGGATTAGCATTATCTGCACATCCCTACCACGTTGTCAATAAACAGATTCATAATAACTGGCAGATGAGAGAGAGCAACAGTCAATTTCAACAGCTCTGCTAACAGTAGTAATAAGAAAGATATTGAGCTCATTAAGTTCATCCAGCAAGTTCAGCCTTTCTCACATTTGATTTTTGCTGTTGATCCAAAAGAAAGCAAAAAATCCAGTCTGAAGTATATCGAGGAACTGCAAGAAAGTTTCACTTGGTAATAATTAGCTAGTTAAGGGATTGCAGGAAAAGTAAACCTTTGCATTTTAAGCTATAGGTAACTAAGAGAGAAATATATTTAATGTTACACTAAAGGTAACAAGTAAATAGGTTGCTTTTAAGCCTTTGGTAAAAAGAAAGGAATTGTAGAATAATGTGCTGCATATAAAGCCATAGGTAACCGGTTATTGTACAGAGAGACGCTACATGTTAAACTATGGGTAACCGGTTATTGTACACAGAGACGCTATATGTTAATCTATGGGTAACCGGTTATTGTAAAGAGAGACGCTATATGTTAAGTAAGGGTAACCGGTTTTTGTACAAAGAGACGCTATATGTTAATCTATGGGTAACCAGGTATTGTACAGACAGACGCTATATGTTAAGCAATGGGTAACCAGTTATTGTTCAGAGAGACATTATGTGTACTATCCTTACCTTTTTGTGTCACTATGTAAACATTTAATTGTTGGAAAGAAGGCAGGCACAGTAACATAATGCAGTCGTGTTCCATATTTGTCTACAAATTGTAGCAGACCTTAGTGGATTAAGGAATGTGTTTCAAACACTTGAAACTCTGAAAGCAAACTTGATAGTGACACTCAGGGCTGTAATTAATCATAACGCTAGATACAATGAGAATCTGTTTGATAACTGCACTGAAAGCAGCTGTTGCAAAACAAGCTGGTATTCCTTTAAAAAAAAAAAAATGCACAGACACACAGGCTCATACTAAACAGTCATTGTTTATCAGTCATTTGTGACTGTCACTGTGTGATACTAATCTAAATTGGCCTTAAAAAGTTGAACCTTTTAAACAATATTCACAATATGTCTGGTAAAATATCCCAGTAGTAAAGAAGAACAAGGTATGAGGCACTTTTTTTTCTTGGAAGATTTTGATTTCCTCTGATCTGAAATTGTTCCCTATAATAGCAGAAAGGAGTCAGTTTATGAGAAATCAGAGTGCATGCTCCCATAATATTACTTTAAAGATATACAGGGGTTTGCAGAGATTTTGATGAACTAGGAAAGAGAACTTAAACAACGAAAAAAATTTACGCTAAGCATACTAGGCGTTATTGTCTGACAACAGTTGAAAACTTAGTAACAGGATCACAAAATATTTTCAAAATATCACAAAATAATAATAAAAAAAAGAATTATTCAATTACAATTCAGATGATGTTTTTAGATGCATTACCTGTCTCTAATCAGAATACAAAGTATTCAAGACAACAACCTCACACAGCCTGTAAGTTTGGGCATTCATTTCTGGCAGATCCCTGAAAACATTATGTTATATATTCATAGTACAGTATCCGCTTTGATACAAAGCTGGGGTGACAGATATACTCACTGAATGCTGACCTACAAACACCTGCTGTCTACAACCCATCTAACCTGACAAGTGATGAATAAGGTGTTGAATTTAAGGTTTTGTTCCCTTAGCAATGACAGTTTTTGTACATATTACAGTACAGTATAGTTGTGTATATTTGTTTACTGTAAATGATAGGGTACAGTGTTTTTAAAATCTATTCTAGCACTGAAAGTGAAGAAACAATGCAAGATTTTCCTGCAGAGAAATTGCAAGCACTGCGCTCTCTTGCCTTGGCAGATATGCAAGCATTTAACAGCCTGAAATAATATTTGTGTGAGTATGCTGGTCAAGGCTCGCTCACAGTTTCTGCTTTCTGTATACATATTCCTCACTGCAGGGATAGTTTCTGATTTCAGTCTGGACTTTATGGTTAATAGTCGCTGTCTGCAAACTTGTTCAACTGCAGCGAGATGTCAAAGCAGAGACAGAGGTTCCAGGTGCCATCCAGATGTCTTTGAAAAACAAACTTCTCTCTCATATAAAATGCAGAAAACAAGGGTTAAATATGTGGGGGTTTTTGCTATTTAAAGGGGTGAGATGATTTTCAATTCATCTAAATAATGTAAACCAATAATGGGTGTGATATCAGCATGCATGGGACCTTTGGAGCACTGGCAGACTGAAGATGCCCTCTTCGCTCTCTTCTTCTCATGAGCTAGGTCAAGGCTTGTTCGGGAAGTTGCAAGCTTGGAAATGGGCAGGACCTACTAAAAATCCACAAAAGTTGCCCAATTTTTGTGATGGAAACGAAGGCAAAATGGGGACAGAGCTTAATATTACTGTCATGTCCAAGAAGGTCCATCACACAGGAAACAAACCTAGGGAAAATCTTTCATGTTCTAACATATGAGTGGGTATTGCGTTCTTATCTAATAAGTGGAGCTAATAAGTGGTAAATAATGTATTACAGGTGCTTATCAGGTCAACAGTATCCTTAGGTAGAAGTTAAAGGACCACTATAGGCACCCAGACCACTTCAGCTTAATGAAGTGGTCTGGGTGCCAGGTCCAGCTAGGTTTAACCCTTTTTGCTGTAAACATAGCAGTTTCAAAGAAACTGCTATGTTTACCTATGGGTTAATCCAGCCTCTAGTGGCTGTCTCATTGACAGCCGCTAGAGGCGCTTCCCACTGTGATTTTCAGAGAATGCTTTCCTATAGACTGGGTGAATGCGCGCGCGGCTCTTGCCGCGCATGCAGCCGATGACAGTGAACAGGAGGAGGAGAGTTCCCCGCATCGAGGGAGCCTGGCGGGGGGGAAAAGGTAAGGAATTAATCCCTTCCTCCCCCTAGAGCCCGGCGGGAGGGGGGACCCAGAGGGTGGGAGGGACCTAGAGACCCTGTAGTGCTAGGAAAACTAGTATGTTTTCCTGGCACTATAGTGGTCCTTTAAGCTACATCTGGG